CCGAACCCCCCCCCCCCCATGTAATGGAAATGGAGAGAGGGATATGTGTTTGTAGTCGTGCCCTAGGCGGACAACCATGGCTACTCCCATAGATAGAGTGGAGGAGTGAGCCCAGGTGTGGGAAATGTGGTATATTCAGGTAAAAAATTAAGAAAAAAAAGTCTGAAAAATGAAAAGCAATGCACTCGCCACATCTAAGGGCTGGTATGCTGTATTAGATTACATTTTTATCAGGTTCAGATCCAGATATTTTAAAGGGCCACTACATTCCGATTTACAAAGTTTTGTTCTTACCACAATTCTGGATAAATATAACTTTGTTTCCAAAGATTAAACATTGATATTTCCACCCATGTGGAAATTTCCGGCCTGTCACTTTTTTTCCTTTCCCCCGAAGTAATGTGATCATTTGGCTATGGTAAACCCATTTTTAAGAGCTGGCCACAGATAAACTTCCTTGCTGTTAAACTACATTTTAATGTGGTCATAAAATGTTATACAGCCGGATCTAGGTGTAAAATGAGCCTCATATCTAATCCACGCTCAATTAAATTTAATTAAAGATGTGTATTCAAATGATTCTGTGCTTTCCCCGGATGTGAAGGCGAGGGAGTAGATGCATATGGAGCTCGGGGATAGCCGCGTGTCTCAATAATGAGGTTACTAGTAGGAGATCACGTTAAACAGTGGGAGATCCGGCTAAATCCGATGTGGGCCATTGTGCAGCCATTTTGCTGCTGGGGAGCGACAAATCCAGCCAGGAACTCATCCACGCCTAAACTCGGCAGGTCTCATTCATCAGTATGATGGGGAAAAAAGAGAAGACTAGCACATTCCAGCGGTCAGATTTCCAGTGCAGGTTTGAAAATAGAATGAATAACCTGATAGAAGGAACAGTGCTGCCATCTTACTGTTTGGGAGCCATAAGTCCAACCAGAGAGTTGGCCATACCTGAACTGAGTCATTTCCTGAATCCAGGAAAAATAGAAGAAGAAAAGCGCCACACCAGTGGATCGAGTCTGAAGGTATTTATTTCAGCATAAGCATAGAGGTGTATATAGAAAAAATTATGCTCCTGGCAACCAGTGACATCACAGGAGCTTGGTGGGACGCCGGCCAGAGCATCCCAGGTTTCTAAGTGCTGGGTGGGAAGATGTGTAAGGGCCATACACATCTCAATGCCCAGCTCTTAGCAACCTTGGACGCTCTGATTGGCATTCCGCCTAGCTCCTTGCAACCAGTGACGTCACTGTTTGCCAGGTTGTCAAGAGCTGGGTGTGATGCCTGCCAGAGCATCCCTGGTTGCTAAGAGCCAGGTGAGTCGGCAGACTGTTGCTGACCCACAAAGTGCAATGTGCCATACCCTGGATAAACCACTGATTTATTACAAGTATCCAAATGAGCTGCTGAGGTTATTTTACTAACAGTGATAAAAAGATTTGTTTTTTCAGAAAACATTCATAGAGTCCTTTCCTTCCATATTGTACAGTATGTGAAGGCCTGATGAAGGGGGTAGAGCCTGTGACCCCAAAATGCTTTGGCATGTTATATTGCATATGTATCATGGAATATATTGGACTTTAGATCCTTTGTGGTGGTCTTATTTGTCTACGTTCCCCAGAATATTTCCAAGATTCCCAAACAGGTTGTCACATGCACGAGAGAAGAATAACTGGAGCCATTGAACTCCAAACAAAAGACTTTACCATGCAGGTCTTATTCAGCAAGTTCAGATGAACATTTCAAGTGGAAACATTATATTAAATGTCATTTGTAGAAAGGAAAAAAGACCAAGTAAAAATTAGTTTTCTGTGCTTTTTGGGGACAGGGTCTCTTTAGGCTGCACTTCCCCTGTGTACGTGTTACTTTGTGTTTGGGTTATTTTAACACAGGAGTTTAAATGTGCTTTATGCTTCCTAGATTGTTTGTTTTGCTTTAAAGGGCCCATTTAAAGTGCGCTCATGCATGAAAACATGCACGCAAGTGTGAATTGATCCTTTAAGCTTTGTTACTGAAAGAAAAATGTATACAAAATTGTATTACTAAAATGTCTGTTTCTGTCCATTTTCTGACCCGTGTCAGACAAGCAATAGCTTGAATCTGATTGGTTGTAACACATTCAAGGATCTTTTTTCTATATATCAACCATCACGTTCTCAAACAATTCATCCCCACACAGCTACCTCCTCATGTATCACTTGTCTCTCCCTTTTAGATTGTAAGCCCTCAGGGGCACGGCCCTCCTTACCATCTTGTCATGTCTTCCTTATATTGTAAAGTGCTGCGCAAACTGTTGTCGCTATATAACTCCTCTATAATAATAATAATATAGTTTCAAGTAAACAGAAGTTGATAATCTCTGATTTTGTGTCTTTGCAGAAAGCAGTCCTGAAATTCAACTACTCTGTGCAGGAAGAGTGCGACTCTCAGCTTGTAGGAAAGTGGTCTTTCGATGACGTTCCTATGAAGCCTCTCAGAACAGTCATGTTGGTCCCGGCTGCCAGAATGAACTCCATCATTGCAAAGTTCAAAGAATATCTATCCGTGTGAAGAAAGTTCCGCATTTTCCCGGATGATCCAGCGACTCCTTTCTTATGCACTGGCGCGGAGTTCACGTTTTACGGACTTTCCTTCCAGCTGCTTTAGAAGGGGAAACCATTCGAGGAAAAAAAGCTGCAACGACCAAGAGCTATAAACAGGATTTATATTTTTATTATTTTACCAAGATGAAATTCTGCAAGAATAATACACAAAAGTCTATGAAATCCTGAATGTGTAACATCTGTCTGTTGTCAACTTCACAGTTCATTAAAAGTCCTTTGTGCTGGGAACGCATATTGCACTTCGATTTGTCGTTTTGTTAGCAGGCGAGTTTATTGTATGAGACATCTCTGCTCGGCTGTGCTGGATGGTTCTTCCTCCGCGGCTGTCCCCTGGTCTTCTGGCGGGTCTTCCGGTGTACCGATATTGGTCATACACTCCATTGCCTTTTCCAGGATCTCTTTGCTTTCACTGGGGGGCAGATTGCTATAGTAATATGGGGGCACCATCTGCATGAACCTAAAAAAAAGGAGATAAACAAGTTTCATGAATTTTGCTTTACATGCGTTTATGGCTCAAGCAACTTCCTGCACATGGTGTGGCCTGTTTGTCTCCAGCTATCGATAGGCCAATGTGACTGGCGCATTAGAAATGCCCGATCTAATGGGGAGGATGTGTTACACTATGCTAGCAATAACGATCATGCACAAGTATATACAATAATATAGACCCTTTTTCTCCATTAATATGGTTAGGGGGTAGGCAACCTTGGCACTCCAGCTGTGGTGAAACTACAAATCCAATGAGGCATTGCAAGACTGACAGCCATAGGCATGGCTTCCAAAGGCATGATGGGATTTGTACATTAAACAAGGCTGAAGTGCTAAGGTTCCCTCTCCCCCCTGTGATGGATCATTACTGCTGGGTATTCTATGACTGGCTTTGGAATCTCATGCTGGACCAGGAGTGCAGTCATTGTACTGAAATGGCCACAGACCTCCATTCTAGTGGGGCCTAAAATGTTGGCAGTATCTTTCCAGCATCCAAAAAAAACCTGACACATCATGCTAAAGCAGGGGTAGGCAACCTTGCCCCCTCCAGCTATGGTTAAGCTACAAATTCAATAAGGCATTTCAAGACTCTGACAGCAACACACATTACTCCCAGAGGCATGATAGGATGTGTAATTTAACCACAGCTGCAGTGGTGAGGTTACCCACCCTTGTGGCTTTAAATCTAAGAGTGAGGGGGTATATTTAGAGACCCATTAGACAACAGTTATCCCATTTATTCATGGCAACTATATAAAACACCCAATGTGATTTCCCCTTCCACCAGTATGGTGTTTTACTGAAACCGTAACTCCAATGATAGATGTCACTGCAGCACAAATATAGATTACAGGGGTTGGACCAATGTACAGTACTGGTAAGCTATACAATTTGACTGCGCCTTCTCTCTTATCTACCAACAATTAAGCAATGCCAGGGCCTGTCTAAATACAAATTGAATGGATTGGTTGTCTTTCCTCATTACATAGTTTTGGTAAATCTCTAAAGATTGGACAGACAGAATGTACAGTGTATGGTCAGCTTTATAGTCCTGTTTGGAGATGGGCTTTATTGTTCATAGGTATTCAAAGCAAAGGCTTTAACAATGAAGGCCCTACTAGTAAATCTGGCCTTTGCGACAACATGCCAGCAAGATAGTCCCCTTGCCTTCTCCTAGGGCAGGGGACACCAAACTTCAGTGCTCTAGCTGTGGTGAAACCACAAATCCCATCATGCGCTGCCTCTGGGAGTCATGTCTTGGTGGTCAGAATCTTGCAATGCCTAATGGGACTTCCGTCACAGCTGGAGAGACAACGTTTGTCTACTACCCCTGCCTGCCCTAGGTTGCCGCTTACTTGCTGGACAAACCAGACAGACATCACTAATGACTTGATTTCTGCAGCATTTTGGCCAGCAAAGCAGCGACTCCTGTGAGCGGCAGCTGTACCTTGCCGATGAACTGCCAGTATGACATGGGCCTTTGTGATGAAATGCACTGCCATAGCACAGGGTCAGGATTACATTACAAGGCAGTACAAAGACCTGTTGCTGTGGGCATCGCAGATATGTCTTGCTAACTGAGTCCACAGTAAATTGGATTTTGGAACCTGAATTGATTTCGGTAATGTATTTGCGCTTCTAAATGTCATCAGCTTGTCATTCATGTGTTTACGCAGGAAATATAAATTAGTGCCGAGCTGAGCCGCAGAATGGAGGCCGTTATCAGGGAACCCCCAAGGACGGCTCTTCTAGAATTACAGTTCATCCAACATATAGTCCCGTTCCTTAAAGTAATAACATTTGGCTTCCCCCTGTTGTTTAAACTAGGATTTACAGGCAAAGGTACAGGGGAATGAAACGGTCTCTGCTTTTTGTGATCTCAATAAAACACAGATTATCCAGCCAGCCACTGCAGCAAGTGACATCTCTCTCCACCGTGGGGGCAGATGGGAAGCTCGCAGCTTTTTGTTCTCTCTGGCCACACACAGATCCTTTTTTTTTTTTTTTCTTCTCTCTAATCACAGTTGTGTGTACGGGAGGAATCAGTACTACAGAGTTTTACTAATGTAGAATACAGCTCTGCCAATCTCGGGGATAAACAATGCATGCTCGTACACCCCCAGCACGGGGCCCTGATTGGCTAAAGAAATGATTACGCTCCAGGAATACATGTACAGGTCACATCTTCCGTCCCCCTAAATCTCTAATTGCTGCAAGTTGAAGGTGAAAGGATAAATGGTAATTTGACGAATGCATTTACATCTTCAGAGAAATGCACCTATAATAGGAGAATCATAAAGAATACCAGTGCTGACCTCACATTCCAAAAGTGCCATTTGCCTGACTGTCATGCTGGTGATTTGTCTTAAATGATTTGCATCCCTGACCCAAAATAAAAAGAAAAAGTTTCGGGGCTGAGATTCAGAAGCACTGAAGCAGCCCTACAGTATTTTCAGCAGCTGCTCACATGTGTCTATAGGGAAGGGTTAATCTGATCGAATTTCATCCAAGTCCAAAATTTAGACAATGTGTCCCCCATTGGGGCCTCCACATTTGACAGTTGTTTTTTCAATAGACCAGAGTGGGGAGAGTGGGGGGTTGGTTTGGGCTGAATGAGAAAAAATTTATGTGTATGGGCTGTTTTAGAGAATACTGGAATAAGCTGTGTGCCTACTAGAGAGATTCCCCTCACTTCCTGTCAAACAGTAAAAGATAAACATTATTTTAGTAGAGTGGAAAGAATTACAAAGATTTCCCTTCACTTTCTGTTCGCAGCAACACCCTGAGAGAGTGTTACTAGAACAAGAAGTGTAGGGATGTCTCCCTGACAGACACACAGGCAGCAACAACATGGCAGGGCTGTAAGCCACCCCCAATGTATCAAAATCTAAAAGAGTAGGGCTTTAAAATCAGGTCTTTGGAAATATCAAACGGGTTTTGTTTTCACTACTTACAGTTCTGGGGAAATTTCCGTGGCAACCCTGATACAGCTCCTGTCTGCTACGCTGAATTCATGGAAGAGGACCCATTCCGGGATAATGTGATTGAGGCAATACCCCGAATCGGAATGTAACTGGCCCACTTGTTTGTGTATTAGCATGATGTAATTTCCCAAACCATCGACATCTCGAGCGATCTGCAAGACAGGTTCACATCATACCGATAATACATACGTCTGACAGGCTGTGCAATATTACAACATTTCCAACACATCGTAACCATAGGCATTAGAGGGCAGTCAATCAAGTGGCCATGATTGAACTGCCCTAAGATCTCTATATTAGAAGTTCTCACAAACATGCAGATCACCCAAAGTGTGCGTGTTTATACCTCTGGCAGAAACTTATTCCAAGAAGAACACAACGATGACTGACCAGAAATTATCTACTATGGATGATCCCTATTTCCATCAAGATCAGTTGACCTGGGGTATACAGTATGTGTGCTCTTCCCCGATATACATAGACATGAGGATTAATCCTGATTATCTCATGCCAATTTCCATCTTAAAGTGAACGCCAGTCAAAATGTTTTCTTTGGTTTTGGATAGATTTATTTATTACAGGTGTTTACATAGCGCCGACAATTTACGCAGCACTTTACATACTGCACAGTCACATCAGTCCCTGCCTCAATAAGCTTACAATAAAAAGGACCCTATCTCACATGCATACATACAGGGCCAATTTACCTTCCAGCATGTCATTGGGATGTGGGAGGAAACCCACACAAGCACAGGGAGAACATACAAACTCCTTGCAGTTAGGGACCTGGCCAGGATTAGAACCACTACACCACTGCTTGGAGGAGTGTTAGGACATCTGTCAGATGTTGGCATCCTCGTTTAAGGAGACCCACACTCACTGACCTTGCAACCTCTGTGCCTAGGAGGGAAAGTAGGGAGGTTGGAGGAATCTTCCAATTAAAAAAACCTTTCCAGTGATAAGAGCTAAAGGTGGGAGATCCCTTTACTTTGAGGACATGTTCATTTACTTGCTGTCCCTGAGACACAATAGAAAGTGTAGGGAATTCTCCATAATAGACACTCACAGCACAGCAGTAAGAGACTTAGAGAGCTTCTTACAGTTTCCACATTCACTGGAGTCCTACTCTAATTGATTGATTAAATTAATATATTTACATCTAAACTGGTAACATATTACAACCCCAGTGTAGTTTCAGAAGTTTTGGCGGGAGGGGGGATTTTCGGGGGGACTGTTATGGACCATTTCCATAAAAAAATTAGAGTCCATCCCTGTTGTCTATATTTACAGATTTATCAATCTCAGGCCACCTCAAATGGCTTCTATGATAGCATGCTATACAATTTAGGTGTCCTGAGAAATACTCTTCTACTATACGGGGGGTTTTCTCCTTTCTTATGGAGATTCTATTTGCCCATTCTTCCCATCTAAGCTAAAGACTACATTCTAATCTAAGGGGGAACAATCTTATTACACATCACTAATCTGTTTATACATCTAGGTTTAGGCCTATACTACGTCTGAATATATTGATCCCACAGCATTTAACATTGTAACCCGACCTGTATTCCAATGTTATCTTTACTCAATAAAGATTGTGGTAAGGAAAAAAAAAAAGAGGGTCCAAGGTGCACAGACACTGAATGGCTTCCTGTGTACATAAAGCAGGGCGTGAAAAAAGAAAAAAAAAAAAGTTATTCTCAAGGAACGGTTTCAATGATCAGATGATACACGTATTAGAAGCAATCCCAACTTCAAAGAAATGTGAGAAAAAAATGTTTGTGCATTATATTTTGTGACCTGGCCTGCTCTCATTAGAAGCTAGAAAAGAAAAAAGTTTCTTGATAGCAAAGTTCACCTTTATTCTTGTAAAAGGCAAAACACTGCAGCCAAAGCAAACAATCTTCTTTCATCTGAAGTGCTGAGTGGTAAAATCAGATTGGTGGGAGTTACTTCACCATGTTACAGAAATCTCCTCGTTATACAGCATACATGGGGGTGGGGAGTTTCCAGATAAATGTAGTTTCTGGTTGTTTGAGAGTTACTATTAAAAATAGGTCTAACTAATGCCATGTCCCATACCCTACCATAAAAATTGAAATGCAGTAATCAAAAGCAAATTAAGACAAAATGTGGACACTTTCCAGGATAATACATGCTGGAGATCAGCAGAACAGTGAGTACAAGGGGATTTTTTTCTCTGGTTAGACGAGAGTTCTGGTTAGTTGAATACCAGATAACAGAGAGTTTACTGTATTACCATTTACTTAAAGTGGACCTGAACCCAAAAAATGAAAATTTGCTATCTTATGCGGGAACATCTGGAAATGCCAATTGTGCCTAAGCAGTACCCCCCAAAAGTGTTCCTTTTGCCTTAAATTCCACCTGAAAAATAATAGTGCATTTCTTGTGCATGGGCACTCCTCTTCTGTAGACGTATAGCTGTATATCTGCAGCATGATATCATCTAAGGCACTGTGCCTGTGACTGTTAGTTTCACAGGATTTCAAGTGAGATTAGTAATGTCACCTCTATCCTGCTCACTGTTCTCTCTGATGGAGAGGAAGCTGTACCTGAGGACCTGCAGTGCAAGGATATTCCTAATTCTGCTTCATTCATTCCAAGGATCTGTGCTTCCTACACAGTGGAGGTAGTCAAGTGGCCTGCAGGGCCCTGACCTTGACCCTAAGGAACACCTTTGGGAAGATTTAGAGTGCTGACTGTAAACCAGGCCCTCTCTTCTAACATCAATACAGGACTTTCCATACGGCATTGTGGCTGAATGGGCACACTCTAAACTTTCGTAGGTCTTCCCAGAAGAGTGCAATGGGCAGCTAATTTCAAGTTAATGTCCATGGTTTTGTAAAGTGAAATCCATCAAACTAATAAAGGCCTGAAGGTTAGGTGTCAACAAACCTTTGGGCATATAGTGTATACATTTTAAAAAAGGTCTTGTGGCACTGCTGAATTACCCCCGAGTTAGGTTACCTACCTGCATAAAATATCCGGACAGAAGGGATTTCTTTATGTTCAAGACATTCTCATCAGTGCCAAAAGCCGGTTCTGAAACTGGCAGTTCCAGTCTCTTCATTATGTCCAACAGTTCTCCTCGTATGACACATGCCATCTCCAGTGCGGTATAGTCCAACAGGTGATCCTGACACCACCTCTCAATTATGTCTGTGTGAGAGAAAGGGTCATATGTGATAAAGCTGCCATTTGTATACACTGTTTTTAATCAGGTAAATATAAAATATTGCACTTGTATAGGTCATATTTATTACTTATAGCCAGCAAGAGCTTACCACCTCCCTCTATCTACGGTTCCTTATCTTGATGTCTGTATGCCCTCTGCTAGACCAAAGGTTTATTGTGTAAATTAAAAGGCAGAGGACAGTGTGGAGCAATTTTTGGACTTTTAATTTGTATCCAGATAAGGCAAGGTTGGAGATGCACTTGAGGCTCTTGCGGAGGTGGAAGTAAGACTGGCTCTCTCTCTTGCAGCAGCAATTCATGGTCCCTAACTTCTCTGCTGACAGTGAATCTACTGAATTCAAATAATGCAAACTGTAATAGGATTGTTGATGAAGACACCCAGAAGAACCTGCACGTACCTTCAGTTAACATTTAGAGTGCCCCAGGGACCCAGAAAACTTACAGTGCTTTACTGTGCAAATAGTAGCTTCAGCTAGGTAGTCAGCACTTTGGATTTGGGAACACTCCAAATGCCTATAGAGAGTTTATTCGTTTACAGTACGTTATGTAACAAGCAATTACAAGGACTACAAGAACTTTGAGCAGTTTCTTTGGGAATGTCATATTTCTTATGTGGTGTGCCCCATAGTTGTGAGGCCAAGCACTAGAAGCATGGCCCAATTTCCCACAAGGCCACTGAGGCCCGGCCTCGGGGCGACAGAGAGTAGAGGGACGGCAGGGGTGTGGAATTCTAATCACCCGATGCCCAGGACATGCAGTTCTGGGCTTAGGGCGGGTAGTTTTTTTTCTACATTTACCCCTGCTTCGGGCAAGCAGCACTAAATGTAGAGCGGGGAAGCTGCAGCTCGTTTTGTACACGGAATCTTGCTCATACGCCCCCCATGGTCCACCCCCACCTCTGACTCTCCCCGCTGGCCGCCTCCCTCCCTCCCGTGGTTTTTGTGGTCCCCCGCTCTTCTGGGGGACCCGGGACCACGACAAGGTAGTTCAGGATTGTTGAGAGCGGGGAGCAGAACGGAGAGCTTCTGTTCTTCTTCTGCTCTGTGTTAACACTGAGGCAGGAACACTGCACACGCAGCCTTCCCATATCAGCGGTCACAGGAGAGCCAGCACAGTGCTGTGCTAGAACTCCTGTATTGGAAGTGACAGGTTCAATAAAGAGAAAAAAAATAAAATAATTGATAAAAAGTAAAAAAAAAAATCAACCCTGACGCCACCTCACCATCTGGTTGCCATTCTCTGTTGGGGGGAGGGGAAGTTGGCGGGTAGGGGGGCGCATTAAGGAACCTGGCCTTGGGGCAGAGAGAATAAATCCGACCCTGAATGGAAGAGAACTGTTGGTAGCTTACAAGGGATTTGTAGGGCCAGTACTGCATGCATGTGGGATCCACAGTCATTGTTTTTCATCATTGGGTTTTCACTGTCAAGCTAATGTTGGGTACCATTCTTGGTAATAGGGGTGCCAGCTAAATGCACTTGAATTGGCTGTCCTTTGTGGATTTTCCCAGCTGCCTAAAAACCTGCTTATTACATCTCATTACTGAGCTTCCCTTAGACATACGAATAACCAGCATGTGTTTTAGCTGGCCAGCTCTGGGTAAGCTTTAAAGCGGAACTCTAGGCAGATAACATACACAAATTAATGTTGCCCTGTATTCATTAATGTATCACTCAATGCATCTTTTTTAAACACAAGCAGTGAAGGAACTTGAAATTGACCTGGTATCAGTTTATTTCGATCCCCTATATAGCAAAACTCAGACTCAGGGAAAAGCAGCACAAGGGACTTGCAGATATGTTGAGGGCGCAGAGCGATGAACTCATCAGTCTGCTGCTTCTCCTTTCACTGTCCAATCCCAGCTAGTGGGTGGAAAAAAGACCTGTAAAGGTTACTGTACCACAGCAGAGAAATATCAGGTCCCCTTCCCTGCCAAACAGAGTTGTGTGGTGCGGCAGAGCTGAATAAATCTCAAGACTTGATGGACAGAAATAGAAATCCTCTGGCAGGTCAAAGAGCTTCCTTACGTGTATTTAGCTTTTTGGAGCTTGGAGTTCAGCTTTAAGAGATCATCAGATTACACATAGAATGGAATTTATCAAAACTGGACAGACAAAAAATGGAGCAGCTGTGCATGGCAACCAATCAGCTTCTCTCTTTCATTTTAAAATCTTAACTGAACAAACAGAATAGATAAGTGGATTGGGTGCCATGCACAGCTGCTCCAGATTTTGATAAATTCCCCCCATAATGTTTTAGTGTCCAGCACTGGGAACACACAAAGAAGAATGTAGCCACTTACCTGGTCTGAAATGGTTCTTCCTTATCTGGTTATACTCTCTGTAGATGTTGATCAGAGTGAAGTGATCTCCAGCAGGGTGTAAGAACTTCATTCTACTGCTTAGCTTTGCGTCATCATTAGTGACATGCGACTCCAGGAAACAGCTGGGTGCTGCCAATTTAAAGAACACAGGCCATAATAAATTATATGTTGCATAAATGTTAACATAAATAATAGTCTGAAAATTCAGACCCGGGTGCAAAGCATGCTGGGAAATAGAATGGAAACACCAATATTTAGGCCACTTTATAGTTTACAGCATCTGGATTGCTCCTCCACCAATCAAACCATGTCATGCAATTAGCAAGGCTAGCTGGCACAGGTTGGCTTACTCATGTACTGGCCGAGTTTGAGCATTGGACAACGAACAGTAACAGAGGCGCCCAATGTAAAATTGTTCTATTATTTTTCCATTTTTTTTATTCATTATGAGTACACTTTAAAGTGGAAGTTAAGTGTTATTTATAAAAGTGTCTTGACAGATGGATGCTGCCTGTCAGTACTTTTTTGTTCTTTTTTCACTGCACAGGCTTGGCAGGATTCTTGCGGAGACTTAAGGTGCCCATACACATAATTGTATGTGTGCATTGCAGTGTCCGACCGACATACTGTACAATCGTATGACTTTTGACGGTCAAGCATGTTTGAAAACTTTGCTCGATCGTACGATTTTCGTAAGGTTGCAGGCGTTTCCATCCGTCAAAAGTTGTACGATCTACACTGCGCGTGCGCTAACGAAAATACGGCAAATCAATTACCGCATTTCGTCCAGGTGCTTTTCGTTAATTACGGCTAAATTAATCTTGCGATCATCGGGGCAGGATGGGGCTGCCGTACGAAAATCGTACGACTATTCGATCATTGGACGAAAAGTTTCGTCCGATAATCGCAAGGTGTATGGGCACCTTAACTCACGTGCGCATACGTGGGAGTTTCCTCATCTGGCCCTGGCCAATCAAGTGACCGAAAACTCTGATCCTGGAAGAAGACCGGGACAAAGATGGAAGCGTGGTGAGGGAGGGGAGCACTGACATCATAGTGCTGAAGAAGATTGCACTGCCAGGTAAGTCTACCATGACTCGCTAATATGCATTGCTGAGTATATACGAACATTATAGCTAAAAGCTTGGCTTCAAGTGTAGACAGGCTTGCGTTACAGTCAGAACTACTCCTTTCCCCATACAAATCAATTAGAATGCAAAGTCAGAAGCAGGTCAACTTCAGGGTCAAACACATCTGTCAAACTCTGAGGGCCCATTCACACCACGTGCATTGGGCTGCGTTAATCAACCAAGGCAGCAACAAGCTGAAATCCATTATTCCCAAAAGGCCCAGTTTACAGGTGTGTTTGTGTGCTGGGTGAAAAAGAAACATACTGCATTTAAATGCAGCATGCATCAATGCATTACAACTTGTCACATGGTGCTGCAGCTCATGTTAAAGCACATCAGGCAACCAAAAAAAAAGAACCCTTAAGGGCTTGTTTTTGTCCAGGGGCTGGAGTCATGCAGATTTATTGGCCAGATCTCTGCTCCTCTGCCAGTTAGCGTTCTCTTCTTCTCCTCCTCTGCTGTGGCTGGGTGAACGTCCCTCTGCGTCCTCTCAGCTAATGCAGGTCTACGGAACCATTGTTCATCGAACCTTAGACCACCACAGCCCAGGGAATTAGAGGCTTCAGGGAATGGTCTGACAGCTCTGAGGGAGTGGGAATCATGTAAGCGAATCAGCTTACTCCAGTTCCTAGACAAAAAAACAGCACTTAACACTGCAAGAGTATAAGCAGGTATTTTTTGTTTGCCCGGATATGGGCGTTAAGGAAAGAAAGATAAAGCATTTTGCCTCCTGCAGGAGAAAAAAAAATACATATCAATGCATGTCAACTAAAGTCTATTTAAATCTAGCCAAAATACCCTGGGTGAAAATGGAACATGCTACATGTAAACCTCGTGCAATGTGCACAACACATTAGAATGTGTCCCATTAGCATGTGGCACATATCTGGCCCATATCCACCATCTGCCCATGCCCCCACTACCCCCCACCCACAACCCGCTATAACTACCTTTCAGCAAATGCTCCTTCCCCTCCACTGTTACAGCTATGGATTTTTAATTTTGCTCCGAAATATCGGGCACTCATTGGTCAGTGCAGTCACCTGACCATGCTGACTAATTGGAAGCGCTTCTTAGCATGAAACGCTTCTCGTTGGTCAGCACGGTTAGGTGACTGTGCTGACCAATGAGTGCTCGACATATGCAAGTGAAGTTCTAAATCCATAGTGCAGGGCTGTGCTACACGGCAGTACGGGATATGGATAGTACACCTGTACTGGCGGAGGGGAAGGAGCATTTGCTAAAAGAAATGGGGCCAGATAGGTGGGGGGGAGACGGGGCCAGATTGGGGGAGGGGGCCCATTCGATTTTGCTAAATTCAATTGGACTTCTGGTTTAAAGAAAATAAAATGAAAATCCTTTTGGCTCCTGCTGCAGCCCCAAAAATGGAAGTCACTGCAATGCATCAAGAAACACAAATTACGTCACCTCAAATGCATTCAGCGCGCTAAGCACAGCAGAAGTGGTGTGAATACATCCTAAATGATCTTTAATGAAGCTTCTCCAACTGATCTCAAATCCAGCTGGTATGCACCTAAAAACAAGCCGCATTTGCCCATCAACACAAGCCCTAAAGCAAATATGTCACTTGTGACACGCAATCAAAATTTAAGAGCGCCACAGCAGAAGCTGACTGTAATGGACATCACAGATAATATAACATAGGGACAACTAGAATGCATTTAGTATGACATTGCATCATCGATCCAAATATTGGCAGATCTGGGTGGACGCATGTCACTTGATCCAATTAGTGAACTGCTGTGAGCACTCTCTTTGTCATGACAAATTCCCGGTATAGTTTGCTCTCTAATCTGTGATCAGAAGGTGCTAGTGCAGTTGTTGGTTGCCATCACTTGGTGGCACTAGTCCACGGCACAAAACGCCACTGTACATCAAAGCTATAACGGTCTGCCCCCACTTGCTCTAATAACCCCAAACAGGCAGACAACTGCAGAATTATTAATACAGAGGTTTAGAAAGATATCATAAATAACGATCTAATTGCCTACTGTGTGCTACATTGAACACTTGCACTTATTGGGAGTTTATATTATATTTTTGCTTATATTTGAGCTTATATTTTTGTTTATATATTATATTTTTGCTCATATTTTTGCACATTCCCACTTTCCCTTATGGCCGAATACAACTAGCTTTCACTATTTCGTTTAGACGGAACCTTGGAGTTGTAGATTTTAAGAGATACACACAAGAACCAATCACTCACTAGGATTTTTATTAAAAGGCCATCACACTTTTTATTATTTCACAGACATCACTCACCTTATCCTTCACTTTATATTCATTTCACATATTTGCAGAATAATTTTTTCACATTGGACTAATCACCACGGAACCATACTGTGACTATTTTCACTATTCACAGTAAAACCAAATAGATTCACTTACCAAGCGCAACATACCCACTTCTCTTTTCTCTAGAAAGATATCACCTTCTACATCTGGCTAGCAACAAAAGCTGCACTGTGAGCACATCTAAGAACCTGACCTTTACCCTTCATTCAGTCACATTACATCCAGCCACCACCATCCATAAATGCTACTGTACGTGCACAGGAATAAAAGCCAAACGTCCTGCGGCTGCCATTATGTGACTATACAAGTGTCAATGGACAGAGGTGAAGCAATCGTTCTGAATGCATATCTTTAACATGAAGGTGGATGGGTGGCACATTTTGACTGTTATGTTGAATGTGCAATATGTTGTGTTTGTCTTTCTTTGTCACCACCGTCATTCTGCACATGTTTACTGACAGATTAAATATATATATTCCCGACAGGACATGGAACAAAAAAAAACAAAAAAAAGCAATAGGGATTTCCTCCTCTACTTACTGTATCTGTACTGTTTTTATTAAAGTTTTGCCTATAGATCAGGTAGACAACCTCGGCACTCCAGCTGTTGTGAAACTACAAGTCCCATGAAGCATTGCAAGACTCTGATAGGTAGACAAAGTTGCAGTGCCAAGGTTGTCTACCCCTGTGATAGATCATTACTGCTGGGTATTATACGACCTGCCTTGGAGTCTCATTCCTTATGCTAGACCAGGAGCCAGAGGCAAAGGCATGATGGGATTGGCAGCTTCAGTACAGCTGGAGGGCCAAGGTTGCATACCCCTGCTATAGACATACTTTCAACTAGATCTAGGCACACATCCAATGCTTGTATGACTTCTGTCCTGCTTTCATACGCTCTTTGTTCAACCAGCAAGCTGCTCAAGCTATAGCTAGCTATGGAGGTGCACAACAGGGGGATACTCCCATAAATTATAGTAGGACAATAGACCTGCTTTAACACCCCATTATTTTAATTCAGAAGTCAGTTTACTAGGCCCTCCTTGCCGGGTCAAACGAGTGCTGTTGAATTTTGTTATTTTATTGCGTCCAACGTGGGGCAGCAATGAGAATCAATGGACCTGAAGAGTCGGGCCAGGCGTTCCAGGAGACTATCAAAGCAGCACAAAACTCAGCATATGTTGTAAGACAACAGGCATCCTTTAACACTCCGTTATTATTAATTAGAAGACCGTTTACTGGGCCCCCTCGCTGGGTAGCGGGGCTGAGTGCTGTCGAATTTTGCATGTGTTTCATTGCGCCCAACGTGGGGCAGCAATGAAAATCAATGGACCTGCAGTGTCTGAGTTGGGCCAGGTGTTCCAGGAGACAATCAAAGCAGCACAAAACTCAGCTTATGCTTCGCCAAGTGCTGATGTGCTGCTTTGACTATCTTTTTACGCCCCAAGGTTTAGGGGTGCTGAGTGCATCCTTTTAATGTCTATGTCAACAAGGCCGTACTTATTCCTAGTCACAAATCCAGCAGTGCTTATTGCAGTTATTCTCCATATTCTGCCGCTGTAATCTTTAATCAAGATGTGTCATCGGTTTTATTATTTTATTATTTTTTTTTTTTTTACATACTCTGCAATATTTACAGCTCCAAATAGCTGCAGGAGAAAGCAATCTCATTCATGATCTGCTCTGCCAGATTTCATGTACCAAGTTTTTTTTTATTTTACAGCGTTATAAAATTGCTATATTGGTGTCATCTATTCCATCAGAAACCACAATTGTCTTGCAGTACCTTTAATTGGCATACAAACATGCTTTTAGAGGCCGTGTTTGCACACTCCCATTCCAGATACAGACGCTGGGGCCTGGGGATCATGCCCCCAGTCTCTCCCCACGCTTGTGGTGGAAACGTCCGCTGTTTTGCATACACGGTAGAAGTTCCTATTGTTTTACTTGTACAATACCTGTAACTATGGCAGCCAGTGTGAGCATCTCATCCACGCAGTCAAACTCACAGGCAGCTAAAATAGATTTTGACAGCTGCGGATCCAGTGGAAATTCAGACATAATTATTCCAAATTCAGAGAGATTGCCATCGTTGTCGAGGGCTGCCAGGTAATCCAGATCTTCCAAAGCCTGCATTAAACTTTCGGGGTCTGGGAAAGAGAAGAACATATGCGCATTGTGAAGTTGGTATTTTCTACAATTGTATATGTTGCAGTGTTTAAAGATGAACCACTGCAAGGGCTAAATGCTTTCTTGGACCTGGGGTACATGGAAAAAAAGACTTTTACTTACCTGATCCCTGCTCTTGCAGGCTCCCTGAAGGCTCCAAGACCAACACCTGCAGAGTCTTCTCTCTTATGCACTGGTGGTTGGAGGACTGATGACGTCATCAAGTACATTGCAGGGCCCACAGCCCTGCTTTGTACGTGAGGACACCAAGGTACAGTCCACAAGCCGGAGAGTAGGGGAGGCAAAGCGATTGCCGACTGCAGGGGAAGTGGATAAGTAAAACTGCTTTTCCCAATACCCTAGGCCTAAATGAGCTTTTACCCCTTGCAGTGCATTGCAGTTTTGTCTTTTCCTGGAGACGGGCATTACATTTTTCTTAAAACCTGATCAAAGCATGAGGAGTTGTATATATGAAACTTGTCCATTTTTCTTACTGCAGTACCTTGACTGTCATTGCCACCATTGTTTTATCACCTCTTATTAGTTTTATTCATGAGTGATCATCATTTTACTCCAACTATAGATGGTATGGCTTCAAGGAAGGGGAGTGCACAAAGGCAATCACTGTATGGATGCACAATTTCCCAGCTCCTTGGGGGGGGGGGGCCCTTGAACATAGGTATCTCCTTGGTGTTACCCTCTGCACTTAAACTGTGGTGCATTCTAATAGGCTCACAGAGATTGATCAGAACTCAGTTGTACCAGTAACATGGTTACACTACTCATATTGTAATGAGGGTGCTAGTTCACACCTGTCCAATTCGTTGAAATGCGTGATCTGTTTCTTGATTCATCAACACACTTATAGGGCCTACTGATAACAATGGCAGCACATGAAAATGCTTGTCCATACTGCACATGAAACATTATATATCAGCATTAGCGCACCATACTGAAAGGTAGAGGTAGGACATTTATTTGTCATTCATAGAAAATAATCTTTTGAGGCTGCTGGGTGCCTCTTCCTCAGGTAGTAGGGGCCTCTTCCTCAGGAAGCCCCCAATGGCCTTGAAACTTCCCTTTTTAACGGTGACGAATAAATGTTCTACCTTTAACTTTCATATGATGTGCTAATGATGATGATATGTAATCTTTGATGTCTTCCGTGATGGTGCCACCCATCATTTCACCATAACACCCGCCGTGTATGGTCTGATGCTGTATGGAATGTGCTGGTTTCACTGCATCTTGAAAACACATGAAAACACGCACGGAAAAGTTTGGACCCAGCCTGAAGTGCTGTCTGTACTGATTTTTTGGAGTCCAAAAAGGACTCACAGGCTACATTCTAAATTGTGACTTGGCTTAGTAAACACACTTCCTGATTAAGCTATCTTTAGGAGAGGCTCCATGCTTGGGAAGTCTTCTTAAGGCTTAGTGAGACTCACTAGCTGTAGTTGTTACACGCTGGGGTTGTTCTTCTCTTTCAGAAGTCCTTACTCCTGGACAGAGTGGAACTAGTGTAATAGTGTGTGAGCACTGCACTTCCAGGAGTACTGTGAGCCCAAGCTGGCCAGATGACAAAATCCCATGATGGCTTGAGCTCACAGAAGTGGGTTGGATGACACCGAGTGCAATTCAACCCAGAAGCTCTGCTAGATAGCAAAGCTTTGCTGAGGGCCTATATTCTTATGAGGGTCAAGAATCACAAGTATTAAATGTGGCTACACTGCAAGGACAGCCTAGTGACAACCACACTCCTCATTTATTGTACAGGTGCCACAGGGAGAGAAAGTGAGGGAAAATCTCCCCTGTGGGTTCACAGACAAAATCTCTTCCCCACCCTATCCGAAACAACAAAAATTTAAAAAAATCTGCTTGAGCTATGCAAAAAGAACATCTTATTGTGGAATATTTTTATCATGTTCACATGGCAGATCCAGGAGCCAATAATTGTCATATAACAAAGTGTTGGACTGGGAACCTAACCCTACGTCGAGCCGTATTTATTTGTGACCATTTGCACATTTTGGAAAGACCAAAATGCATTGGGGACCAGGCCTGGATTATTTAATAGTTACAAAGAATTTGGCCAAGGTATCTAAATAAAAAAACAAAAATGAAATATACTGCAGGTTACCAGTCCTTAGATGTGGTGGCTGCATTCGTTTTCTTTTTTCAGGCTTCTTTCCCTTTAGTTTCACCTGGAGATTATGCAAATAACACACTTACTCTCCCTGGGTGGCTACACTAACTCTACTGTATGAATGGGGAAAGCAATTGTTGTCACCCAGGCTGGATTTCAAATATGTCTACATTTCTTCATCTCTATTACATGGGTGCTGATGAGATTAGGGTTTTACAGAAGGGAAGATAACATTGTTCTATACCACTAATTCAGCTTACAGGAGGTGACAATGACACTACATTTCTGGAACGATCAACAGGAATTTTCCTTAGCTCACCAAAGAAAACGAACATAGTCAGCACATCTAAGTACTGGTGCAATAGACTACATTTTTATTCTTGCGTTAGTTATCCTATACTGCTTTTTGGGGCCAAGCAGCCCTCAGATGCTCAAACTAGCCCACAGGTACTTTCAGGCCCTGCAACCCTTATGGTCAGTGTCAGAACGCCCACCTTGCAACTTTATTCCAGGAAATAAAACAGCAACCACAATATTTATGGCTCATGAATAAATATAGAAAATAAATTGACAGCCTTTTCTATTGATATGCAAATCTGATGGTAAATGGCTTATGCAACATATATATTTTTTAAGAAATCTAATACACATTGCGGTTAGACTAGAGGGATTTACATCTTCCAAGTAATCTATAGACAAGGTGCAGAAAAGCTCATCCATCACAGTAACCTGGGAACACTGCTTCTACCCGATCAGCATTTTATTGTGTAGAGTTAATGGTGATTCATGTGTACATACTGTAAACTACATGACTATGTAACACTCAGGCTTCACAGTAAGTGGAAATATTTATTAGGCGGTGTGGAAGGTTTAATGCCGGGAGAAGTGAGACCTTGTAAAGTTAAAGCAGTCAGGCGGAAACAACGCGGGCCATGGAAGTGTCGCAGCAGTCAGCCATGAAATGAAAACCTACAGCTTCTACAAAGGACGGACAAGGGGCGAAGTAAACAAGGAGAGATCAACAATGAAAATAAAATGATAAACACACTCCAATCACACGTGGATATTGTGTATTTAAAGTGAACCCCGGGGGTGCTCAATTATAGAAGCTGCCAGCACTGACATTTAAAGTTGCAGGCTTTCGAGTTGACCTTCTCATCCTGGCTTCACGACCTTGTCTTTGATCTGGCAAAAGTCCAAGTGAAGTAATCAACAGGATCTGAATGATAGCCCATGGAGCCTGCGTCTTTGAAAACCAAGTGCGGAAAACTCAGATGTCTTCAAAACGCATGAATCGAAACTCTCACTCAATTGAGCCTTGAACCCCAAGATGAATACCACCGCCTGAGACCACCATTTAGGTCATATTGGACTGTAAACCCAATGCTGGACCACTGCGCTACACCTCTTTCTCTCTTCTCAACCGCCCCCACCATCCTTCTCTATAGCACTTTCACTTTTCTTAAATTCTTCCATTCTCATCTTTACATTTGCGTGGCCCAGTGTAAAACTGCTTACTAGCTTACAATCCAATTAAAGCCCATAGGCTGTTAACTTTGCAAAATAATAACTTTGCCCTAGCTTAGTGAATGTGGTGAAATTTCAGCTTGCAAAAAATACCCAATCACTGGCAAGACAATTATTTTTGCTTGCACCTTATTGGATGATGGAAGTCAGCAGAGCTTCACTTTATTCATTGTGCTAAGGGAAAAGTCCCCTGAAAATTGAACAGCCTATATGCCTTTAGTAAATCAACTCCAAAGTCTTACCTACACACTTACACCTATGTATCACAACTAAAACAATCTTCAATCCATTACACAAAGTGACTGATCTCTTATGATTATAACAATACAGGATTTATATAGCGTCAACAGTTTGCACAGCGCTTTACAAAATGGAGAGAGATTGTACAGTTGCAATACAATTTCAATGCAGGAGGTAGGAGGGCCTTGCTCTTAAAAGCTTACAATCTAGTAGGAGGGACAAGTGATACAAGAGGTAATAATTGTATGGGATGAGCTAATGGAAGAAGTAAAAGGACAGTTATTATGTCAAGGTGGGATAGACTTCCCTGAAGAGATGAGTTTACAAAGATTGCCTAAAGGTGGACTGAGTATGAGATAAGCGGACAGATTGGGGTAGAGTTCCAGAGGATTGGAGACGTTCTGGAGGTGAGCATGAGAGGAGGTGATGAGATAGCTGGAGAGCAGGAGGTCTTGAGAGGTGCGGAGAGGATGGCTTGGGTGATATTTTGAGATGAGGTGGGTGATGTAGTTGGGGGCAGAGTTGTAGATGGCTTGGTATGTTATTGTTAGGATTTTGAATTTCATTCGTTGGGCAAGTGGCATCCAGCGGAGGGATTGTCAGAGAGGGGCGGCAGACACTGAACGGTTGGTTATGTGGATGAGTGCGGCAGCAGCATTCATGATAGCCTGATTGGGGGGATAGCCAGTTTAGTGGTAGGCCAACAAAGGAGGGAGTTACAGAAAGTAGTCGAGTGGATCCACAACCTCAGCCTAACCCCTGAACTTAAGGGAGCATTCACACCAGCCCTGTTGTTATTGAGCCCAAAAATGTAAGTTCAAACTTTTTTTTGGTGTAGTGGGGAAGGATTAGAACTCTTGTTATGTTTTTTACTGCTATATGGAGCCCTTTTAGAAGTGATTTACCCTTACTTCCCATCATGGTGACCACAGTTTCATAAGACAGTAAGTAAGAAAAGAATCTCCAAAAACAGAGAAATAATTTTTACTCATATAGAGTAAGGGAAGGCTAGAACACGCTTCAGCTTTCTACTGATGTACTGATGTACTGATGTCCCTGCTGCAGATT